TTAAGACATAGCGTTGTGCCACAAAGAATCATTGTTTCCTCACAAAAGATCATGGATTCATGGTGAGATAAAATAATAAAAAAATAATGATAGTTAAAAAGATGAAGAAGAGAACGACTTACACATGTAGATTATCGATTAGTGCAAGAAGGGTCATCTCATTGGAGTTGACCACAGGCTCAGGAAGAGCAGGTGGATGACCAGAAGGGTTAGGGCAGCATCATTCAGACAATTAGAGACTAGCGAGAGCTCAAGAGCTATAGTAAAAGGGGCGGGTCTAAGACAAAGAATAGAGACTTGCCGAAAGATAATGAAGAATTAGAATTCAGAGAAGAACATCTTGTACTTCCAAAAATGATAACTTTTAGATCTACTTTATACCCCCAAAAGTAACACAAACAGGGGTGTGGCTCCAACTTACTCCGATCATAAGATAGGAAGTGGACAAAGCTGACACAATTAAAATGATGGAGATGAGAATAATCATATAACTAGGAAAAGAGCTTATCATAAAGTGTAGCATCCTGAAAGACAATAGATGACGAACGGTTAATGTTGTAAACAACAATGAGGGCAACTTTACCCTAACAATATGACACATACTATATCGAGGATATTACGATTCTTGCATTTTGCCTCACCATTTTTTTTTAGATATGTAGAGATATAGGAGCGTTGAATAACAGTACCTGAATAACAATATTCCGAGTAGATAGAAAATTTTTAAAAAATTATTATATTCTACAGCACTAGAAATGACCAAATATTCATTATACATCAACTTCGATGTTCCATGCCATAGCATTTGGTTAACACGTGCGTAATTCCAATGTTAAACACTAATTTCCTATTATTGTAAAATTGAAAGACTAATACAAAATATAGGATATATTTACAAAAATAAAGCGATTCACTTCGAGTATCAAATAATTATTGTTTCCTCTATTAATTGTCATGAACATCCGTACAAATTTTCTTAACATTAAATTCTACTTTCCTTTTTCTTCCATTTCCCGAAATTCAATAGCAATGCAATTTTTTTCTGCAAACTCTAAGACAAAAATAGTAAAAACAGTGGGCGGGATATTGATCCCTCCGTGTTTTCAACATTTTCACTCCTCCTTTCCATATATTTATTCTTTCTCTCTCACTCTTTTTAACCCCTCCTCCTTACCATATATTTATTCCTTCTCTCCCACTCTCTTTTTATTTATTTTCATTTTGTGCTCACACTTACTTTAAACTTTTTGGTTATCGTTCTTCTTATTTTCATTCCTCTGTGTAAAAGGTGAGCTTTTTCATTGTTTTGGTTCTTCATCTCTAGTTAAATTTGGTTGTACTTTGTTAGTATTTTGATTTATACGTTATATTTCCTATTTAGTTTATTGTTGTTAATCTTTTCTCAATTCTATTTAGACTAATGTGTGTATTCTATATTTCATCTTGTCGATTGTTTCAAATAGCATATCCTTTTATTTAGTAGATTTTCTAAAATTGAGTATTTACCACTTATTATCTTATGGGGAAAATCGCTTCGGTAAAATCTTATATAGTTATAACTTTTGCGCCATATTTAGTCCTGTTAAAATACAAAATATATCACATTTGGTCACTCCATTATTCGTCTAACTACTTGTGTTGGTTTAGTAATTGTTGTTGGCTATGTAGATGATATCGACTAGACAAGATTTGAATACAATGCACTCATCTTTACATTCAATGAAAATGTGGTTTATCTAGTGTTTGACCTTCTGTATGTTTACAAAGAACACGGGTATGTGACTAATATGTTGAGTCTTGTTTTGGGTGATTGTTTTTCGATGGGATCGATTATGTTGAATCTTATGTTTATAGCTAGCCATTATGTTAAATGTTTTTATACTTCAATAGGCATTTTGTTGACGTTCTATATCTGGTGTTTTAGGATATGTTCTTTTTTAAGGAATCTTGAAGATTTTTCACTATTAATTAATTTTTTATTTTTTTTAAAAATATCAAATTAAAAATATATTTTTTTAATTTTTATATTTAGAATCACATTAAACAATTATTCAAATTTAGAATTTTACTATTCATAAATCCAAACTAAAAAATTCAAACCCTAAACCTTACATATTACTCTATGTATATGTATGGCTGTCATTTGAACCTAGGATGCATGCTTCTAACTACTTGGTTGTATATTGTATATTAACACTTAGGGCTAATACATACAATATATATATATATATATTATCAGATTCTATAATACAATGCAGAAGAAGGGATCCTGTTCAGCTAAAACCAACAGAACAACAGGCCAGAAGAGGCCCAGGGAATTAGAAGCTCCATCTTCTCCTACTCAACCTTCAGCTCCAAATGAACCAAGAGATGAAACCCTACGATTTACAGACCCCCAACAAATCGAAAGGTACAATAGGCTGAAGTGTAAACGTTTCTTGAAGGGTCGATACATCGACGAGGATGTACTAACAAAGCTGGGCTTAAAGGAGGAGGTCGACGCACTGGTATCAGTCGGGGCATGGGGTAACTTCTTCAAGATCATAGAAGATAGCTACGAGAATCTTACACTCGAATTCATGGCAACATTCTTACATGAAGCTGCATATTATCACTCCGAAAAGGCCGACACTTTGAATTTCAGAATGTTAGGGCGACAATTCTCAATGTCGCTCACTCAATTCTCCGTTGCAATTGGACTATACGATCAAGATTATGTCGACACAGCTGAGTACAGCAGCTTGCCATTAACAATGTCTCTACCTCCCCGCGATTATTGGAAGACAATTAGTATGGAGCCCGAGTATGATCCTAAATCCTCCAAGGCATCTAGGCTTCGATTTGTGGCGCTTAGATATATTCATAATATTTTGGCTCATACACTTTCGGGGCGAGGGGAGAGCAAAGGGGTGGTCACGAAACACGATATTTGTTATTTATGGAGCATGTATGAGCGCGTTCCGGTGCATTTGGGGTTTATGCTTGCTCGATTAATTGTTCGTCAAGTGGAAGATATTCGTGTGGGGGTTATTGTTATTGGTCCGTATGTGACAAGATTGGCGAAGGGTTTGGGGATATTCGAGAGGGTGAATGAGCATCCTTTGCAGAGCATGGTGCCTCTTGGATTTCGAAGTTTGCATAATATGGGAATCGTGAGGCGATCTACAGGTAATCAGTGACGGAGCTATATGGGGATAGAATATGAATATATTTTTAGTATAAAAAATAATAGAAGTATATATTCCCTCAGTTTAGATCAGTAAAAACTTTTATTTAATTTTTGCACGTAGATTAAAGTAAATTAGTATTTTTTATATATATGGGATAATAAAGTAGTATAATTATTATTTTACTTAATAAAAGTAATGTGAAAAGTTAAAAATAAAGATATTTTGAAATGATAAATTTTAATTTGGATATATTAAAATAGTAAAATATGAAGTTTATTTTTGACAGGAGGAAATACTTTTTTATTAATTCGTCACCCCCAATTTTTTAATTTTCAGTGTAAAAATCTATGAATTTTTTTTTTTTTATAGTTTTGTTGATTTATACTTCTAGTTGTTTTTACTAAAAAAAATATTATATTTTATATAATTTGGTTGAATTTTTTTCATTTTTTTTTTTCTTTTTTTCATTCCTCTTGTGCAGAAAAAATTGAAAAGGACTACTATATTAATTAATCAATAAAAATGAGACATTTTGCCCCTCGAATTTTAGAGCTGGTTCTGTCACTGCAGGTAATAGCTGGACATTAGTGGATAGAGTAGGCAATGATGACGATAAAGATGGAGTTGATCTTCAGGACCAACCGGAGGACGTCGACATAGTTAGCCCTACACAAGGATCATTCAATTGCCGGCAGCTCCGAAAAGACATGACTGAGCTACGCGCCGAGGTTCGGTGGATGAGAGACGTGATGAACCTACTATGCACTCATTTTTCGATCCCGGTTCCAGCCCCTCCTAATTTTATTACATCGTCGGAGGAGGACAAGGGCGACACACATCCAGCTGATGATACTAATGAAGTCCAGATTGTTGACACTGTAGATGTGCAGATATCTCATGTTCAGGACCAGACAGTCTCGTTAATGGAAGATCCCGAGCAGCCACATCTGCCTCTGCATACACCACCCCATGCTTGACATGCCTTTATATATCTACTCAACATTAGGTTTTGTTTTTGGAAGTATATTTTGGATTCTGTTTTTTGAACTATTGTTGTTATGAATTAGAAACCCTAATTTGAAAGACTGCTCCGTTTATTCAACATTAGGTTTTTTTTTTTTTTTTTTTTTTTTTGAACTATTTTATTGATGACTTATATGTTGATGTAGGTACGTTCCGCATTATTCTCCTATATTGTAGGGTTGCACACAGGGGACGGGGCTTCAACGCGGGTGTGGCTAGGCCACGGGCGTATCAGCTTTCGGACACGTTACACAATGCTCCATATACTTATGACAATTGTACATGGCCGTGTAACAATATAGTCATGTATAATTATACACTGAAATATACATGATCTGACCGTATATAATTGTACATGGCCGTGTACTTTTCAGGTCAACTGCCACGTCACCTCCGTTATGTCCACGTCAGCAATTGCCGTTAGTTTTTTAACGGTAGAACCAAAATTAATTGAAATTGTTTATAATGAGACCAAAATTGATTGAAATTATTTATATTGAGACTAAAATTGATAAATTTTGATTATATTGAGATCAAAATTGATTTTTTCCCTTATATATATTAACATATATTATATTATAACTCACCCTAGAAGACAATTAATCTAGTACAAGCAAGAAACCTCAATTTGACCTCTTCCCCGCTACTGTAATGGTCATCATCTACATATCAAATGTCTTTGTATCTACAAAAAGCATGTCTTGCTACACAAGCTAAAGAAATAGGACAAAATCATCCTACACTGTTTTTAGAAGTTTCATGTGGCAACTACTCAAGCAAAACTTAAAAACAAGCTCAACTGTCCTCTCATGTCAACAGTCATTATTACCCAAAACCAGTAAATGTTGGGGAGAGAAGGAAAACAAATAAATAAATAGCTCAACTATATATATATATATACATTAGGAGCGTGTTAATGTCTAAACTGTGGATTCTACTCTGCTACTTTGTTTCCAAAGCAATGTAACTGGTATTATTTATATATATAGGCATATGGGTTGAATGCAACAAAATCCGCACCTTTCATCTCATGACCCCCAGGATGACACCATTGAGCTCACAGGAAAAGCAAGAATTGGTGTCATAGCACACGCAGCAGCTTGCATTTCTAAGCATTTTTATGGTGTGCGTTTTAAAGAGTTGAAAAGATTACCCACATTACTGGTCATAGCAACCAAGGCAATTGGAGTCTCAATCTTTTCGAATTGCTCTGCGTCATGCGGGGATACAATTTCAGGATGTGTTCTGCCATGAAATCGTGCCTCGTCAGAATGCCTACAACTGGCTCACTCTACAAGATGCAAGAAACATCAAGTTAGAGAGGTTCTTATCAGAATGGTCTAAGATATGAAAAATACAGTAAACCCCAATTACAACAGCAGCGCACAACACATGGTGTATATCCGACTGACGGAGCAAAGAGCGTCCAATATATATAGCATCCATACAAAAAATTTTAGCACAGTGAGTAGAAATATATATAACAAAACAGATGATAAAAAGCACCATTTGTTTCAGTGATCACTAAAGATAGCAAAACAGCAAGTCCTTTCATTGGCATAAAACAAAGCATCTTACCCGAGGAACTTGTGGAATTACCAAAAGGTGCCTTAGACCCACTTGACGAAAAAGAATGAGGGCTTTTGCTAATGACATTGTTTCAATAACAGTGTATGGGGATGTGTTTGTAAACGGGCACAAGTCGACAAACATCTCCATCTCCTCCACTGACAATTCTATATCTTCAATTTGGTCAACAGGGCCAAAATCCCCCTTCCCAAAATCATCAGCTGAAAACTGTGATAAGGCAACCGGATCAACCGACCTAGGTGTTTCAGAGAATGGTTTCTTTTTCAACACTGTAATGAGGTGAGCTCGAAGAATTAAACCATACAGCACCGGAAATGAAGAGTTTGTAGGCTCATATACCACTGGAAACCCATTATGACCTGTTGTTTTGAGAACATGTACTATGGAGCCAACCTTCTCAATGCCATGTAAAATGTGAAGTGGGCCTGAAACCACATCGCCAACAGTCAGCTGCCTCATGTACGGCTCACCATGAGACTGCAAGTATGGAAAACCCTTCAAATTCATAATAATGTCATAAATATTACGATCGAATGCATCAGCCACAGTCTTCGAAATGAGAAGGACAAGCATTATGAGTGGTAGAAGCAATAAATTATCTGTCAGTTCAAGGATAATCACACAAAGAGAGACTGTCATTCTCATAGATCCCCCAAGGAGTGCTGCAGAACCAAGAACAGCAAACAGGCCATGGTTTAGAGTCGAGTTGGAACCAAAATGTATTCCAACCAAACGGCCATAAGCAGCACCTGTCACAATCAAAGGCAAAAAAAGACCCGCAGGAGTCACAAGGCCATGACTGAAGCTGCTGAGGAAAAAACTGCAAGCAAAGAAAGTATGCATTGATTTGGGGTTAAATTCAGAGTCTGTGTTTTTGCTGAAGAGGTTTTTTATTGCATCATCATTTGTATTAAAGAAGAGGCTTGCAAGATCATTATAGTAACCAGGAGCACACTGGAACTTCTTGTAATTTCCGGACCGACCAATAGACGGGCAAGGTTCCGATGCATCAGAAGGACAAGGGCGACAAGAAGCAACCCAAGGTAGTCCAAACAGAAGACAAGAAGTAAAAATAGACAGACAACAAGCTAATAGCAACCTGTACGCAAGTCCTTTCCTGAAACAAGTAATAACAGCCATGAATTCCATCTGGGCGAGATTTAGTTGAAGAAATGAATCTATCTCATCACACATGTTGTACAATAAAAAAATAAATAAATAAATAAAGACCTTACCCATTGATGTGCTTGTAAATTCGAAGAACTCTTTCAAGAAGAAGATTATAAAGACTTCCTAATATGCCTCCCATAACAGCCAGAAGCAGAACAGGAGGTACATCCTTGAGGTGATAGGTAATATTTTCAGATGTAACGTCATACATTATTAGGCCGCCTTTACCAAATAGCCCACATTCACCTTTCCAACACATGTCAATAAAAGCCCGCAGGACAATAGCAACAACAGTTGTCGTAAAGAAAGATCTCCACAGCAGAGAACCTCTCCACCTACAAGAGAAAATAAAGGCAAGTTTCAGTAAAACATATCTAACAAAGCATAATCACATAATCACCAGTAATCATGATAGTTATGGGATGCCTGTTATCATTCCAAGCTTTTAGATTGCCAGTAGATGTACAAAACAAATGTTTTGTTCTCACTTACACCTCAAGTTGTATCGATAGAATCTAGGGACATAATCAAGTATAACAATGCTGAAACATGCTACGGCGCGAGTTTCACTAAAATGCAAGCATAGGTAAAGAACGTAAACGCGACATCACGTGGATTGTTGTTAGGGAGCAGTTCTATTCATTATTTAATACCAGTAATAAAATCTTACATTGCCCAAATTGAAATGTCACAGTTGCAGAAAAAGCACACAGAAGACTATGGTTATAAAGTAAATCATGTCCAAAGTTCAAGCAACTATGTATATCTGTTTAAAGATATGCCAGATTGAGAATAAAGATCATGCATTATATAGATCTATGCAGATTGGGTGAAACATCGTAATTGCAATTATCTTGTTAAAATTTTCTATTCTAAATGTTTTAATAAGTGAAGATACACAAAATGGTATATTACAGACCATCAACCAAGAATTGAAGTTCTATCTCTAGAATACAAATCTCTCCAGACATGAAACAGGCAGCACAAAAGTATCATAGTCTTTTAAAATTGATAAAAGCATAGATAATAAAGGATTTTAGAAAAAACAAGTAAACAACATTATTATATCTCTATAATAAAATGGTTCAGCATCATTCTAAAAAAAAAACCAGTTTTAGGAGATTTGAACATAAGAACAGCAATGTTTAGGTAATACCAAGAAGCCATTCCCTCAAGAGCAAACAGAACACCACCTACTGGAGCACGAAAAGCAGCAGCCATTCCAGCAGCACATCCACATGTTATAAAATCTCGACGATCTCTATCATTTCTGAAAACTCGAAACCAATTTCTGCACACCACAAATTTCCTTGACCCACCCATGCACAATATTGCAGCTACGCAGGCACCAATATGGACCATGGGCCCTGCCTTCCCAATATTGAGAGATGATGAAACAACTAGTATGATTCCAACTATCTGCATATTATACACTTTTAAGTAAAAATTAAAGTTCAATATAATAAATAAAGGAATTCAATCATATGGAATAAATAACTAAAGCAATAAAAAAGGGGAGGGGGGATCTTTATATCCACTTGGAGAGGGAGGTACAAAATATATGGTAGAACTGTTACAAATAATTCACCAAATTTCAAGTAATCACCCATCTAACAGCTCCCTTGCATGAACACTACATTATCAAATACATGGGAACTTACATACCCATCTAACAGTTGTCTTGCACGAACGCAAAATTATCAAATACAATGGGACCTATCATACTGCACGATAGTTTATTCAGTGGCTTTTTTCAGTATCATACTAACTTGATTGAGTATTTAACCAACATCACCCTTTTGGGTACAAATAAATACATATATGAGAGGGAAAGGGAGTTTCAAATGGGCACAAATCCCAGAATACCTTGACAAGCAGAGTCCGAAACGAAAATATAGCAGGAGCATCCACACCATTCAAGTAAGCCTTGACCTCTGGTATGCCAGAACCAGCTGTCTCAGGAGCTACTAATGAAGTGAAAAGCACTGCTAGTAATGACAAGCAAAGATTTGACATTGAAAACACAATGAATGCATTAGGGTACCTGCCACATTTCAAACTTAATAAGTCCAATAGAAAAGACAATAATCTCACCAAGGAAGGATCCAAAATACAGAAAAAAAAAAAAAATAAAAAAATGAAGATATTGCACTGCAAAAACTTGTAGGAACAAAAGCTCTGCTAAAACTAAAATTCTTATTGTTCCCATTTATTAGTTAGGGGCACTTAAACAGAAAATAATATCCAAAACTGCATCTTCTTATCACTTTCAACAACCTGGGAGAGAGATTTTGAGAAAGGCATTGATATGGCATCTCCCCTTTCTGAATTCCCACTTGTCTCATATATAAAGATTGTTGCAAACACAGGTTAGTTGAGGAAGTGTTCAAAGAAGTGTATATAACCCTTAAAGGATGTATCTCCAGAGCAGCATGGTAGTCACGTTATACGCTTGAATCAATAAACCTCCAGAAAACAGTACTGTTATTTAAAAATAGCTTACATAAACATATGGAAAGAATTAAAGTATCCAATAACCACAAGCCTTGAAATTACAGGAACTAAAACACCGAAAGTGAGTTTCAGAACCATTTAAAAGTTTAAATCAAGAATATCTTACTCTGCATCAAACATCAAATCGGAGGTTATAACAAACTTCACCCCAGCTATGTTTTCAATTGCAAGATTGATGACAAACCCAAGGAAACCAACTATTAGCCCAATGAGAAAACATAGCGCCCATTTCATAAATATATACTGAAATATCTCTTTTGCCCCTCTACTCCTCCAGTCTTGCCTGAAAATCTCATTCTCAAAAATCCTGTAAACGAAGAAAAGTTTTATCTCATGTAGACCACCTACTGCTGTCAATGGCCAACCAGCAGTAAATGTAAAACAGTACATAATTCTTACATTATCTCCTAAAATACACACCAAATACAATCCATGAGATTGATCAGAATCATAAATAAGGGTAAGACCCTATTAGCAAACAACTGGCAGTCAACTCCTACAAACAGTCACTCAGGGTGTTAAATCATAACTTTTATCTTCAAAAACACGTAAGTGATATTCACAACACACAACAGAAATAGAGTAAACATAAATGCGATTTATGCCGAGCTAATTTTGAATTGAGAAGTGATTTTGCTGAAGGCTACAAAAAACCAGCAATCTTAACCAAAATCAAACACTATCAATCGACCAATTCGAGTCTCCCATGGATCCTCCTCATACTTGTAAACACTCTCAGCCTACGAACACAATACACAAGAGCTATAATATTGAGAATGCTCATGGAATTGGAATAAGTTCAGGTCGCGTTTAGAACATAAAAAGTCGCTGAATTTCTATTCATTTCCATCGCTCCGTTTATTCAAACACCGTATGAGAATGCATTTACTCGTAGTCAAGGCTCTCGATTGGGCAGAGGTTGGAGCCGACGAGAGCATGCTGTGAAGTCGCGTTGGACTGCAGAGGCCTCGGCTGTTGCTGTCCATCCTGCTGAAGCAGCGGCTGCTGCAACCCCTCCAGAGAACCGTCCGAAATCGCCATGGAAATTGTGGGATTTGGTGGGCAGTTGCAGTTAGGCAAAATCAGGCTAGAAAACCGGCGTTTTAGTAGATCATAACAATTCTATTATATAAAAAAGATATGGGTTTATTTCTGGGGGTACTATTTGTACTTGTTTGGTTTATTCATATTTTCAAATGGCTTTGATCAATGGCCGGCCCATCGTCGTTAAACTTTCCGAGTTTTGAGAATTTCAGGGGTTGTTTGTTAGTACAGTATCATTTTCATCACATCATCTCATATCATTCTTTAATTTGATTTTTTAATGTGAAGATATAAATAATATTTTATATTAACATTAATTTTATAATAAAATAAAATATATATATATATATATTGAGAATTGAAAAGTAAATTATGAATAAATAAATTATTTATATGTTTTTATACTTTTTTCGTCTCCAACACAAATAGATTTTTTTTTATCTTATAAAAATGATTTTTTTTAATTTAATAAATTTATTATTTTAAATATATTTAACAAATATGACCCCATTCAAAACTCTTCTAAATATCTTTTCAATATAATATTTTTATTTATATTTAAAATTTTCATTTTTAATAAAATTATTTAAATTAATTTAAATATATTTTTTTATTTATTTGTATTATAGTATAAATTTTATTATTTCTAAATAATATATATTATGTACAATGTTTTATTGTAATAAAATATTTAAAATACCAAAATGATCATCCGACGTCTAATTTATTTTTAATTAAATATATTACGTAATTACAGTATTCATCCAAATATGATTTTATTCAACTTAGTTTAAAATATTTAAAGTTTAAACAAAATAAAGCCCACAATCTATCCAAAATAACCCTAAAGTTATTGATGATTGAGTCCTACACAACATTATCTGATTGTTTGGGGGATTGGATTAGATTTCCACTGTTCATCCCATTTTTTTTCCCAAAAAACATCAAATCAAACATCTATTCATTTTTCATATTATACTAAAAATAAATTTTATATTCAAAATATCACATCAACACCTATTTATATCACATCATACAACTATTCAAATTCAAGATTTTTACTATTCAAATTCCAACTTAAAATCCAAATCCCCAAACAAATACACCCACATGAATCATAACTTATTGGCATATAATTTTGGGTATTCATTACAGTTTTGACTGTTATGCTACTTTCAGCATTTGCATCCATCCATATATACATACCTATTGTATTTTTATCTTTTATCTTTATTTTTTTAGTGGTTATTGTATTTATATACTTTTTCTGTGTCCAAGTCAATGTTTTATTTTATCATTTTTATTCATACTTCAAAATATTACTTATTATTATAATATAAGTAATTATATTTAATTATTAAAATATTTTTAATTTTTATAAAAATATTTATTTTTTTATATTTTTAAAGATAAAAATATTAAAACTATCATATATATTTTCACTAAGCAATAAAATTATTAATTTTTTAATTTATTATAAAAAACATAAAACAAAATGATACATTCACTTGAAACAAAATAAACATATATACTTTTTTAATCAAATAAATAGTCTATTAAATTTTGGCAAGACTGGCCGTAAATAGGACAAGGTAAAAAAAGTACTCAGATGACTAAAAGTGATAAAAATAAAACATTGACTTAGTCCCGTAAGGATCAAATCCGATGCTACTATACATAGTTTGATTAGTGTGATTTATCTTGTTGAGCTTAGTTTGCAGAGTATTAAGTTCGGACGAAAGTTTAGCCAATACACGAATTAAAAACACGTAATATAAATTAAAAATCTCATTTACTTTTTACTTGTTAAATCTTTGAATACTAAATATTACATCAAAACGTAATATAAATTTAAAAAAATTACAAAAATACTTTCATTACTATTTTATAATACTAATAAGATAATATTTATAAAAAAAATTATACAAATATAAAAATATTTTTAATATTAAATATAATGACGCAAAAAAGTAAATATGATTTTTAGTGACGGACGGAGAGAATATAAATATAAAAATAATTATTTTATTTAATATTTTTAAAAGAAAAAAAAATTATATAAACAGTAAAAATCTTATATTTTCAAAAGCCCCCATGAAATCAGTGGACTTGTTCTCAGCATTCCTTCAGCCTTTCCTCTAGTTCTTAAAAATAAACCGCAGGAGATCACCTGTTCAAAAAAAACAAACTCTATTCCCCTATTCTCAAATATGTATATATATGAGCACGTGTATATGTATAAAGGATTATTTTATACATACATACAGTATGTATGAGACAGCGGGACAGGGTTCCGTCCGGACAGACGATGCCGTCTGAAAATAAACATATATACATTGTAACTGTTGTTGTCCTTTGACATTCCCTTCAAACTCAGCTCTCATATCACTTAAAAACAAAATGGATTGTCATCCCGGTGGTGTGGGGCTGAATGTGTGACCGTGAAGTTATGAGTTCAACCCCTAACGCCTTAGATCATCTGTTATACATGATTTGTGGGTTTCTACGTCATAAAAACAATCTCGAAAACTTTGCTAGTTCAGTATCTCTAAACTAGCAACAACACAATAAAAGTGAACATTCACTCATTATAGATAGTTAGATATTTATCATAACATCACTGAAATGGTGAACACGGCCGTGTTCATTTTGAGCGCACACAGATTACAGATATATGATTGTAACAAGACACGGGAAGAAAAACTGGAAAATTTAGAATACGAATTATGAACACAATTTTTTGAAACGAGACTAATAATGGACATTTTTCATCAGCTAATATATTTGTGCAGTGCTGTGCAGTTCCAAAAAGAGCAAGAAATATAGATCTATCTCAAGCGTGGAAGAGTTAAAATGGATTTTGATTCCTTCGTTCTCAATTGCACCGCACAAAATGAAAATCAGTGATTGTCACTGCTGGTTTAACAACAATTCACATAGTGATTAATTTATACTCACTCAATTCGTAAACAAAGACTCGTCGATTTCGATTCGGACGATCTCACCGTCGTCGTACTTATCTTTCCTCGGCGGCAGTGCCGGAGCCGGAACCTTCGGCGGTCCTCTCCCCTTCTTCTTGTCCCTTGGCCGCGCCTATACGCACCATACAAATATAAAATGTAAAATCAAAATTAAGGAGAAAACAAAACAAAAAACGAAGAAGAAGATTAACTTACATTCCCAAAGGAGTGATTGAAACGCTTTCCTCGTGCGGTTTTCTTGTCGCCTCTGCCGCAGTAAACCGAGAAGCCTAATTTGAACAAAATAAACAAACAGAGATGACGAAGCGCCGAAAAACAGAAGCCGGTGCGAATGAGAAATCAGCACTTACTGAAAATAGGCGTCGGAGCTGAGGCAGAGGTAGCAATGGAAGAAACCGATGCGCTGAGTGACGCCTGTGATTTAGAGAAGGAAAGAGACGAGGAGAGGGCTAAGGATTGGGAAGCCATGGGAGGCGCTCCGAGCAAGAGAGAAGCCATTTGATAGCTCTGACTAATGAATCTGTGGCCTCTGAGGACTGAGAATACAAATTGGATAAAACTAGAGGAAGAACAGTCCGAACGACGTCGTACCGTCGGAGCAGTGTATTGCTAAGTAAGCCCCCTTAGCTTTTCAAAAATTAAAATCTGACCTCCTACTTTTACATGATGCCTCTTCCAAGTTCCCACCCAAGTATTTTGCCGAACGATGTTTAATTACATAAAAAATAATAATCAAAATACACATTATATTTGGGAGGGATATATATATATATATATATATATTTATATTTTAAAATTTTAAAAATAAAAATAAAACACTCTCAGTTCAAAACAAACATTATAATTTTTAATGGAATATGAATATTTACATATGTTTCTAGAAGTTTTATTGTTATTTTTTTAAAAAAAAAAATTACATTAAATATTTAATTTTATTTAGAATATTATATTAAAAAATTATTATCCATATGAAAAATATTAAATTGTTTTTGTTGGACACTAAAATTCGGAGGTTTCAAGACAGTTCGTCGATTTGTCAGTGTGGGCTCCGGAAATACTCCAAAGAGTCTGTCCGTCGTTGGATTGGAGGCGGCTCATACAATGGAGCCTGCGCAGCTTCGATCTTAAACGAGGCTTCAAGTTTGAACGACCGATTTTGATGGATTTAAAATCTATTAAGAATGAGATAAAAATATGCTAGAAACATAAAAGTACGTAATTCGAATTAAAATGCATAAACAGGAACTAAAACATGAAAAAAAAAAAATAGATAAATATACGAGTTCATCTTCTTGTGCGTGTGTCATGTGTTTTTTCTTAATTTTAATTCTAAGATAAAATAACCGTCCATTCCCACTAAAATGAGTCGTTTCAGTTATTCCTCCACCACTCTCAACCGCCTTGTAACCTTCTTCCATCAACCACCTATAACCTCCTTCCATCAATTCTCAACCGTTTCCATTGCCACCGGACCGGGTTTCATTTGCTCTGAACTTCTTTCATTGCCTCTGGACCAGATCTATCGCTTACTTCGACTTGTTCCATCGTACTCCTAGCCGGTCTACGGGAATGTGTCTCCATCAGCCTTGAGTTACATTGAATCTTCGATTTTCCTCTTGTTGGCTTGTTCCATGAAGCTTTTTGAATAAAGTATGAAAGTACATAGGCCCATCACTAATGTTCAGTACAAAATTACTAACTCGGGGCCAATGGAGGTAGTTATCCCATGATCCGTGGAAGTTGTTGGCTTTCTTCTACTTTGTGGAAGCACCGCAGTCCAATGGAGGTAGTTGTTTTCAACCCAATGGAGACTTTCTGACCTTATGGAAATATTGTTCCGGAGTGGGGGAGCCATAGTCCAAGGAGTTGATGTCCTAAGGTCCATGGAGGCTACTGCTTTCGGCCCTGTCGAAGCACTACAATCTAATGAAAGTTGTTGCCTTCGGCACTGTGGAGGCAACCGTCTTTGGCTCCGAGGCTTGAAGCTCCATTGCTGTTGAGCGGCTCCGTGGCCAAGGAGCTCTGACTCCACTTTTATCTTTGAACCCTCCTTCATGTTCAAGCACTTTTAGACCAATGTCCAAGAGTTGTGTATACATACTATAGGATATATTAGGATATATAAGGATGTTGTATAATAATTTTAGTGTTCATATTAATATATGTATTACTATATGTAGATAATAGAGATATATGTCTTGATGATGTATAATTGTGCGATGTATATATATATATATATGTTGGTGCGCAATAAAAAAGAAGGGAGATAGAGAGTGCGACAGATAGGTAATGAAATACAAAGAAAACAGTGGTTCATTACATCGAGTATAAATCATTTTTTTTTATGACGTAAAAATTCACAATCGCTGCTCAAACATACGTACGGACAGAAATCATTATTTATATACACAGATACTTGTTGGATGTCTCATAAGCAATTGACGTTGAGATCATGATATTTAAAATTTATGTAAAATATACTCGAAGTGTAGCGATTTGAATCCCTTAATTTCTATTTGATTTTGGACCAAATACTCATTGCAGGTAACAAAAATTAAGAGAATTTCCTAAAAAAATTAAATAGTATAACTGTTGATGTATTTTTTCAACAAAAATAAAGTAAAATTCAAAGATATAGAAATATCCTTAAACTTGATTAATTAGTGCCTGAGATTAGGAATCTCTAAACACTGTACGGTACAGAAAATAAACTGGAAAATAAAAGACTGAAATTTAAAGTGGTGATCCCCAAATCTGACTTTGCTTTGTTGAAGTTGATTGAAGATACCTTGCCAAATGATGATCCAAATCCTTAAATATTCCCTGGGAAACCGTACTGAAAACCGTCACCCGAACGGTTACAACGTCTCCTTCTCAACCGTCTTCCAACCTTTCTTATGCTGACACGTGTCCCCAGCAGATCAAAATTCCCTATATTTCACTCCTTGAGCCGACCACAGACCTTCCGCTCTTTTGGCCCGACTTCGTCCTTCGTCCGACCTACTTCTTCGCCCGACCCCACTTGGGCCGACCTCCATATCAACCGCCCCCTGTCTTTGATCAAAGGCCTCCGTGTTTGTCCGACTCCTCCTTCTATCCGACCTACAGTTTACCCGATCTGCGGATATCCCATCTCAACGACTTTCCGTCTCGAGGACCTCCCGACTCATCGTCTTTCCGTCTTGCGGACCTCCCGACCGGAAGACCTTCCGACTTGAGGTCTTTCCGTCTTGCGGATCTCCCGACCTGAAGACCGTCCGACTTGAGGTCTTTCATCTTGAAGGCCTCCCGACCTGAAGACCTTCCGACTTGAGGTCTTTCCGTCTTGCGGACCTCCCGACCGGAAGACCTTCCGACTTGAGGTCTTTCCGTCTTGCGGATCTCCCGACCTGAAGACCGTCCGACTTGAGGTCTTTCATCTTGAAGGCCTCCCGACCTGAAGACCTTCCGACTTGAGGTCTTTCCGTCTTGCAGACCTCTCGACCTGAAGACCTTCCGTCCTGAATTTTCCTTAGAAATAAATAAATAAATTTATTTTCCTTGATTTCCTCACGGTGTCCTTCAGCCAGTTCAATCAACCCTATTGCCAGGCCCATTCCTCGTTTTACCTTGGGCTTTTAACCTAATTCTAAATTTCGTACGTAACAACTTGCCCGCCGCCAAGGGACTTTCAAACGCCAATAAATGTTTGGAAGTTCATAAAGCACTACCTTCTCGAGAAACTCCCTTAGCAACTACACCAGTTACTGCAACACTCCAGGTTTATTCCTTCTTCGCAATACAAGCCTGTGTGAATCACAATCCCAAAACATTCTAACTATGGCGAATCAATACATTCCTGCCCTTCCTTTCGACGGAACCCTTCCAGAAGGTCCATTTTCAGCCTCGAAAGTACTAACTCCGACGATCCGTCCATATTGCACTACTCCCGAAGATTCAAATCGGATGAGGGAAGTTTTGGAATCTCGCAACGCCTTGGCTATCAACAATCCCAACTACCAAGCAGTTCGCATCCGAGACAGCATCAAGACCCATCTCACAGACCCAAAAGATCTGTATCGTGCTTGGTATCGACGAGTAGCAGAACACTTCCAGACCCAATGGCGATCCCAAAAGATCGACCAAGCAATACTACTGTCTACCATGCCTATCAACCTGCATGAGAAGGTGTTGTTGGCCATGTCCGCCTTCTGGAATGCGGAAAATGGGACTTTCCTTTTGCCCTCGGCCCCCTTTGGCCCAACCCTTATGGACGTGGCCATGATCGCACATCTCCCAGTCGTGGGTGAAGACCCTGTAATGGGAGCCCTAGATGGGCAGGAGCCATCAGAAGACCATCCGGGATGGTCTTTACAAGGTGTGAAGGAATGGGGTTGGACAAAGTTCGCAACCGACCAGCAAGGGGCTCCAGGGACTCCTATAACCGACCGGGAGCATACTGCCTTTATTCTGTTCTGGCTTTGTAGGTACATCATTGTTTCTCCTTCCAAAAGTGTTCTTCCTTCTCACCTCGACCTGGCCATTCATATTGCGTCAGGTCGGTTCTTCTCCCTTGGTACCCTATTTTTAGCCAATCTGTTTGAAGGACTCACCCGGGTTAGCCTTCGTTTAACAGATAACGATAATAGGAAATTAGACACTGCCGCGTCGGGTCCTTTTTGGTTTTTAGAACTTTGGTTCCGTCTTTACTTTCCCAACGCGTTTAACTTAGGATCTCCGCCCACTATGCCAACATCTGAAAAACATTTAGGATTAGTCCTCAACCGACTCTGCTCAGGACGCAATAAACTCCAATCATCCGATCCAATAATAACTGCCATTTTAACAGATACCCGCAGTAACTCTCGATTTTCTATGTATAAAAAGTATGCGGGTTATGCTCCCGACCATTTTTGGCCCTTTCCAGTACCAAACCCGCTTCCGACTCCTGAGCCTTGTCCTCATCCCACCTATCCTTTCGCCTGGGACGTCGCCCTCAAACCCAGGTCTCTTTTTAGTAGCAAGAAACTTGATAAAAAAGGGCAGAAAACTTTTTACACTTTTAACTATGAACCTCAATTCATGGCGCGTCAGTTCGGCTGTTGCCAAGGTATCCCCGGACCCGTCGCGGGTCCCCAAATAATTTTTCAAAGTCCCGACCGACGAGTCCTTTCTAATTCAATCCCTTCTTATATCTCCCAGCTTACCACGTATATAATTTCCAATTCTTATATTCCCTTCCGCTCCAACCCTGAGAGTGTAGATACTTTCAATGAATGGTGGTCGGTCGTATGGTCCCTGATATCCCCTGATGAGGGTCGGTTGCTGAACGTACTCCTCCCTCCCCAAGGACTGGTTCTAGGGGCGGCGATACATACTAGCACCCAAAAACAAACAACCGCCCCGGGAATCGGATCTGGGGGTCCCACGCGCAAAAGAAAAACTTCCCAGCTGCACACACCCCCGACCTCGGAGACCGACCAGCAAACACTAGCAGACCTTGGAATAACTAGGACGTCAGCAAGGACCCGACCCCGAATTGGTAATGTTTCTTAACACCGTGAACC